GCCCCATACTTTGTTTTCTTCAACACTGACATTTATTACTGCCTACCCACTTTATCCTCTGCAATTTGCTAGCTAACAGTATAAGAAAAACAAAGCAGTTTTTTTTGTTCCATTCAGATTTTTGGACCACCTTTATTTATTCACTCTTGTTTATTTGTTGCTCTGAAAATTTCAAGAAAGAGGATATTATTATTAAAACAAATTATAAAGTGGCCTATTTGTCATGTGGAAGTGGAAGGAGGTGAATATACAGTGGAGTAGAGAATGTGAAAAGATGTAATTTATTGTTCCTTTTCTTTTCTCCCCTGTTTTTCATCCACAGCATATTCCATTTCTGTACCCATCAATCTCTTTCTATCTAAAAAACAATGATATGTAGCCTTTGGGGTCTACAATTTGCTCCAAGATAATGTCTTTTTTGGGGTTAGTTACTCTCAAGTCTTAACTACTACCTTCAACTCAACCACTCGGCTCATAATCTCCAAGAAGCAATCTTTGCATTTGGGCTCATTTCCTTTGGCATATTCATCTTCAACCCATGTTAGATCTGTCTATTTTATTAGTCAAATTTCTGCTTCTGAAGGGAACTTATTGAATCTTACACTTTGTACTCCCAATTTTCCTTGCTAAATTTATCCATCATTTGATTGCTTGCATAAGGGAATATTTTTTTGGTAGCTTTATCTCAAGAATCTTGGATACGTGTCTTCGGATAATCCTAGGCCCCCCACGATTTGGGTTTTGGTGGGCTTCGTCATAGCAAATTAGAAGCCATTATTGATCTTCAAGATCTGGAAGATCGCTTTTCTCTTTTTCGGCTTTTTTTATTCTGTTTCACAAAGGGGCTGAACAAGAGTATAAATAAAGGACACGACTTTCTTTTTCGTAGTGTTTCATATTTAATCATTTTACTTTTAGCTCATTGCTTTTCGTAATTGGTCGCCTATTCTTCATTTCTTACTTTTTTCTATAATTTTTTTTCCCTAAATATACTCCCACCACACACATACTATGAGCCCAACTCAGGAAGTCCACAGCACCTATTTTCAAATGCTTCTGTTCTTGATCACTTGCTCTCTCTCTCTAATCCTCTTTTACAAGTCTCTCACTCTCAAGCCGCTTCCCTCATGGGCTTGTGAGATGAGATTTCTTTTCCTGTGGTTTTGGAAAGACCTCTCCTTTTTTCTGGAAAGAATTTTGTTGGGTGTGATAAATGTCTCGTTTTTTTCCTCTAAAATGTCACTCAAGAAGAAAATTTTAACCCCCAAAATTGAGAGTGTTGAGTTGAACCAAGAGATGTCGGTTTTGGATTTACCCGACCTCGTATTGGAGAGCATTCTCGAAAGGCTTCCTCCGAATGAGCTCTGTAAGGTGGCTAATGTGTGTAGTGTTTTCAGAAATAAGTGTTTGAGTGATCACTTGTGGGAAATGCATATAAAGAACAAATGGGGTCGAGTCATAGGCGCGGCTGCTTATAAGGAATGGCGTCGCCAAATTGTTTCGAGGAAAGGTTCGATTTTTTCCGGCCACGGCAAGAATAAGGGGCAAATTGGGTATTCTAATTTGGTTGATTTGTGGCCACTTGAGTTGATTAGATCTAGTTTTAGCAATATTTTTAAAAAGAATTATTTTCCTCCGGCTGAGTCGATGATGTCTTGTTATCTCGCGATTGAGTCGGGCAATTTCTGGTTTCCTGCGCAGGTTTATAATCGAGAGGTATTATGATTTGGTTGTTATGGATATTTTTAGCCATTCATTTAACATATTTTTGCTTTTCTTTTGGCTTTTTTGGAAAAATTTGGTTGTATTCATGTGTTCTGTTGGGTGATGATTTGCAGAATGGTCATGTTGGATTTATGCTATCTTGTTATGATGCTATGGTCAGCTATGATCGACGAACCAATACTTTCCAAGCCAGGTGATTGACTAAAATTGTGCACTTATACAGCTATTTCTTTATTATAAATACTTTACTCCCTTTTCCCCATGTTTTTATTACTTATAGGTGTGTTTGTGATTGTAATAAACTGTAATTGAGTAGTTTACTTTATTTAGGCTAAACCTTACGGGCGGTTTTATTCCATATTTCTATTCTGGGTAGTTGAATGTTCACGGGCTTGATCATATTTGAAACTGAATCTTGATTATGTATGCTTTGGTTATAATAATCCTGATTTAATTTCCAAAATTATCTTTTCTCCAGCTTCATATCATGTCAAAGGATCCACCTTGAATATATAGTGATTATTCGAAATGCTAAAGTTTGCATTCTTTATTTTACATCTATGGGCAGATATCCTGAACATGGAACAAGACCAACTACAGTGGAGACTGGTGTTACTTTGGACAGGCTTAGAGCTAAACCTTTGGATACGAGTTCGCATGATCTTTATCTCTCTAATTGTTTAGATGAGTTAAAACCAGGTGATCACATTGAAATCCAGTGGAGACGTAACAAAGAATTCCCATACGGTATTTTTCAAAAAATCAAACTAGATATTCATTCAAAAGATATTGTTCCTATTTTATTTAGCTATATAATATTGTTCCTATTTTATTTGACTGTATAATATTTCACTTAGTATAGAATTATGAACGTCTGTTGCACAATTTCAATTTGTAGTTGTTATTATTTATATTAATTTTTAATATTCGAGCTGTGGCCCTTTTCGTCGCATCTCCAAGGGTTGGTAGGTGTGTCACGAATTAGCTGTAATATATAATACCTTACCAAACAACTTCAAGAAGAAATGGAAAAGAGAACATATTTTATTCTTAATTAAGTTGGTCTTAATTGACTTCTATCCAATGGTAGCATCATATTTGCTTATTTGATGAAGATTGGTCAACTTTTACTGTATGGATGTGCTATTATGACTTGTACTTAACTTTATTTTGACCAATTATATTATAAGGCACACTAATTTTGAATCTATTAACTAATGGATATTACTTATTTGTGTAGGTTGGTGGTATGGTGTCGTTGGGCATTTAGAAACATGTGATGGGAATGCCAATTACTGCAGATGTCATGATAGAGGTGAGTTCACTTGAAGTTCTCCTTAAAAAAGAAGAAAAACATAGAAATGGCCATTTATTATTTACAAATTTGAGGGAGTGTTTTATTGAACAGTTCAAAATTTTTTCATCAGACTTGCTAGCAAGAAAGTGTTTAGTATTTTCAATAGCAAATTCATTTATTAAGAACACGTTATTTGAATCAAACCATATATTCATGAGATGACTGTTTTCATTCTGATTCTTCTTCTGTTTTAACTTTTTTGCACAATTTAACACTAATTTAAATCAAAGCATATAATCTTCCCAGTCTCTGATTATTCAGGCAAATTGGTAGCTAAATTGGAACAATATTTATATACCTATGGTGGTTGTATGTAGACATTGTTTTGATATTTTCTGTAGCTTTTATGCTGAAAGCATTATTGTTTACTTCAAATCATCGAGGTAGGCCCTTAGATGATCCCCATTTTTCTACATGTCTTGCTTTATGCATAATTGGAACAACACTTAATTTTTTTCTCTCGACATAGCATAAGTGCTGTCTCGGTGGGACATTTATGGCTAGCCAAAGTTGAAAGGAACCTACTCCTTTTCATTTGTTTATTCATTATAAAAATGTTGTGGAGATTAAATGATTCTGCTTCGTCTTCTCACACTGTTGATATTGCATTCTGAAATCACGCACGTGTCTATTTCCCATACACTTCTTGATATCGCCCTTCGATAGTGTTTCATGTTTATGTTAATATTTTTTTTTGTTTGTCTTGTATATTTCTTATGCACTTCTCAAGCTTCTTACTATTGTTAGTCAACATGATATCTGTTTTATAATCATAGAGGCCTTGATTTACATTTTCCAGGGGTTTTTTTTCCCTTTTCGTTTATTTAAAAAAAAAAATATTCTAAATGTCTGAAAAATGGGTTTGCAGACACTCTTGTGCTCGAATTCAACCAATATGCTCACGGGTCCCGGTGGAGGAGGACACTTGTCAACAGGAAAGACCACAGAGAAAAGGGTAACGATGTCGACGGCTTTTATGGCGGAATCCGAAAGCTATATGGGAATGAAGAGATTCTCAAGTGGAGAAAGCTTTGGCCGGCAGAAGTTTTCGAATAGGTCACAAGACCGATTTTCTTGTTATACGTATTTCGGTTAGAAGCTGAACCGGAATTCCAGGACAAGGTCCTAGCAAGACGGGTTTCTTGAGAAGCACGAATATTGTTGGCTTTTAGCTTAATGCTGCAGATTAAAGGTGTAGCCTGAGAAAGAGATTTGTGGGCAGTTGTGAAGATAAATATTGGCAAGAGTTGTGTATATTACCTTCATTTGAGACTTCAGTCCTAAAGATGAAATGTGATGTTGCATGTGTTTTGTAGCCTTCTTTACAAACACTAATGAAAACAAGTGATTGTTGGTTGAAGATAAATAAATTATGAAGTGTAACGGGAGAGCAAACTTTTGCGTACAAATAATTTTCATGTAAGAACATAAAATGAAATATAGTAGAAGCACGAATATACAAAATTTTCTTTGGGGAGCGTCCTATTTTTTTCAAAACTCTTTCACTAGTGAATGATTGCGTCGCACTATACAGTTTGGATTCACACATGAAATATTTTCTCTTAAATCTACCAATCTTATACTCCATTCCACAACTATGTTTCTAGGCACTGTATAGTTTGGATTCACACCAAAGATTTTCTCTTAAATCTACCAATCTTATACTCCATTCCACAACTATGTTTCTAGGCAAATTTGTGGACTTTTCAGAATTGATGTCTGCGTTTTTCCTTATATGCGGGATTCTTCAAATCTAATTGAATTTTCAGCATATCTTCAGTAGATATCTTTCCAATCTTCGCAAAACACGTCAAGATCCCATAATCTCGTGCACCTCTCTTCCTGTAGTCAATATCCACTTTATGAAAAGTTTCCTATATCTAAGAAAATTTTATATAAGCATATAATTATCACAAGTAAAGATACATATGACTATATATAAAGTATATATCATATAATCATTCTTCCATATGATTTACCATATTATAAAATGAGCATACATAGATAGAAAATATATACTAAGAACTAAATAATAAACAAGTAATTGAATAGAAACTTTTTCTTTCTTTAATTTGTTTTGCTTTTCGTGGGTTTCTGCTTCAGATAGGCCTTTCGGCAGTTTCGGCGGTTTCCCGAGCTATGGATGTTTCCTTAGAGTCAACTGTTTGCTCGATAGATTTGCTGCGGAAGGGCTCTTTGCTAATTTTAATTATTTTCGCTTTTTAATTTTGTATAGTTTGTTTCGGTGTTGTTTGTTTTGTGTTGTTTGGGTCGGTATTTTTGGTTTGGGCCGTTGGCCCATGTAGGCTCGCATGCGAGCGGGAATTACTCCGTTGGGGTCGTTCCACATTACTCCGTTGGGGGTCATTCCACATTACTCCGTTGGGTCTTTGTGTTGCTTCCGATTTCACTTTAATGTCGAGCAAAGTGAATCGGTTCTATTTATTAACTGAACGGGGAGTTACAGGTATGGCTGGCAGTTCTGCTGACGTCGGAGCTGGTGTGACGTCGGGCACGGCCGTTGGGACTTCGGGTCAAATCAAACTTCTGTGCCAGCCCCGAGTTGGTCCGATAATTGTTGCAGAGGTGTTAAATCAAGCGAAACCTGATGAAAGTTTGGATGCCGCCCAACCCGACGTGCAGATAATTATTCCTAGCTCCGGGGAAGCCGAGGTGGAAGAACAAGAAGTTCCGTTGAAAATAAAATTGAGGAAGCGGTTTGCCGAGAACCCCACTGTTACTGACGAAAGGCGTTCAAAGAAAAAAAACGACAATGGCCACCGCGAGAAGGAAAAAGAAGTTGCCTCACCACAAGTCGGCGTGAGGTCGTATGTTAAGATCGATGAAGGAAGAACGACCGAGCTCAATCTGTCTGAGGGGGCAGTTGAAAAGTGGTATTGGGCTTTCTAGTCGGTTGAGATACCGAAGTTGCCGAATAAATATCATCATCCCGAATATGCAATGGATACAGCGAGGGTCCCCTCAATGGCGTGGGACCCGACCCATGCGGGTGTGACTTTATTGCAGAGTATGCACAAACTCGGGTGTGCCAGAGTTTGCCTCGGGCGTGCTTTGGTAAGTCTCATTTCCGTGGAGGATAATTATCGCATGAATGCTGCCGAACTAGACGAGAAAAAGAATGAGCTGGGATTGCGAGATGGAACCGTCGCGTCCTTGGAGGAGGAGAATGCACTTTAAAGGCCGAGGTGACCGAAAAGGATGATCAATTACGGGTGGCTCAGACGGAGATTGCCGTGTTGGTGGCTGAGAAGGAGCGTTTGACAATCGTTTACTCACTATCGCAGAACAAGCCATTCAGTCTCGGGAGGAGCAGTTTCTGAAGGAACGTGAAGAACATCAGCGGACTCGACGAGACCGCTCAGAAAAGTAGGCATTGTTGATTCGTAGTCGGGAAGCTCATCAGGCCGAGGTGACCAAATTAGAGAAGGAAAAAACTTCCCATGGGGAGCAAATGTATGAGGCGGGCCTTCAGGCCGACATGGACCTCGGGGATGGAGCGGATAAGGAATCTGAGGATGCTGAGCTGGAGATTGAGCTTAATACTTGTCTTAACTTGAGGTGGGTCATTGACCAATTTGAAGCGGGCCTTTACGACGTTGATGATTTGAGGATCTTTCTACTCTGCAAGCTCGAAAAGTGTAACTTTAATTATGAGATTAAAAGCATGCACATCCTTGCAGATGATGATGAGAGAGAGTTCTGCGAGTGGATGTTAGGCTGAAAGGATGCTCAGGCAGTGGACCCTGACCTCTTCCCTCCGAGCAAAGAAAGAGAGGCCGTTCTTTGAAGGGCGTTTATGGACATGATATTGGAGGGTCTCAAGGAAAAAAGGGTCGAGCTCGCCGAGGGGTATGTGGAGACGTCGATCGAGGTCACTGTGGGGCCCCTCACTGTGGGGCAAAGTCTTGACGATATGTTCCCGGATGAAATTAAAAAAGTGGTCGCGGTGTATGTAGAGGATAAGGTAAAGGCCATTGTCACCGAAGGTCATAGGTTGGCAGCGCTACCTGATGTGCAGGAACCCCTAGTCGAGAGAACCGAACGGGGAATAGTCACGGTAACTGCCGAGGCGATTAGAGCTGTCGTTACTGCCAGAGAGGCCGCTGCCTTGGAGAAGGAGTCGAGGGGAAGGCCGTTGATGTCTCTAAGAAGCCAGCAGAGGATTCTGTGAGGACGACCTAATTGCATTTTGATTTTTCGGGTGTTTGATTTTTTATTCGGTTTTTTTTGTTAGTTTCGGTTTGCCGGTATGTCGGTACACCTAGTAATAATTTTATTATTATTATTTTTTTTTTTTTTTTCCATTTATGTTGGAATGTTAGGCTTGGAATAGTTATTATGCTTTATGAATGAACAACTTGCTTTCTTTTTGTGGCTTCACAAGTTATTTAAGAATTTTCTCTTATTTGAAGAATGTGTTTTTATTAATATGTCACTTTCTTTTCTTTTTATTCTCGCAAGTGCACCGAACTCGGAGGTAAAAATTTTCATAAGAATTTTAAGAATTTAAAAGGAAATCATTTTAAAGACCATTTAACTCGGAATACTTTGAAACTGGATTGAGAAAACTCATTTTCCTTACATACGACCGACTTTCACATTATTCTTCGAAGTAATCGAATTTGTTCGAATTAAAACGAAGTCGGAGTTTGTAGGCAATAACTAATTTGATAAGGAAAATTATGAGAATTTCGTTAAGAAGGTAGTTTTCGTAACCGAGTTAAGGAAAATTTAACAAAAAACCTGGTTATAAAAGAATAATTTGGATATTTACCCTTTTCCGAGTTTGATGTCGTTTTTGTGGACATCGGGTGATGAGTTACCGACTTGTAAGCCCTTGGGCACAATTGGCCTTACCAAGTCCCGAAGGAATTGGGTTAAATTACGCCATCTCATAGGCCTCACGTCGCGGGACTCACCCCTTTGCGCGGGCTTCGTGCCGCGGCCCCCATCGCGCCCCCAGCAAAGAAGCTCCCAAGCAGACCCTCCGCGGCGCGGCACCCTTCGCGCCACAATACCTTGTGCGCAGCCAGATTTTTTTTTTGTTTTTTTCATTTTTGCTCGGTGTTGACGGGCGTTTCCGGTCAACGGTTAAAAAGTTAAGTAATGGAAAGGAAATAAGGAAAAGACAAAGAAATACGGTTTAATTGTGATTTTATTAGATGATCACGAGGTCGGCCTCTCGTACGAGGTCGGCACTTGCGATATACTTCGAGGTTTCTTACAAGAATTTTTACAGATCTTTAGAGAGAGAAAATATGAGTGCAAGTAGTTGGGATTCAACAACCCAAAATAAATGAAGTGGGCTGCTATTTATAGTTGCCTTAAATGTGACACTGTTCAGGCACTGTTCATCAGTCTTGTCGTACAGTGTTTCTTGCAGAGTAGTTCGGCGCCTCCCTGACAGAATTTAATGCGATTTGAGGTTTTCCTCATCATTGTCTGACAGGCATTTAATGCTGGCAGGCTTTATGTCTTGGCTAGGGGAGGTAGGTCAACAGGCTAGGATGTCCCATCCATCAGCCAATGATTACTCTCCAAGTGGCCTTATTATACTGCTATCGAGATCGGCACCTTCATTGCAGGGACCCGTCCTGAGACTCCAGACCGGCACCTTTTCTTTGCTGGTTCCTCCCTCCCCGGGGAACCTATCTTTCAGCCCGTCGCTCCTCAGATTGGCACCGGGACTTTATAGCCGCAAACGCTGGACTGACGAACGGACTCACGGGAACGTCTGGGTCATAAAATATTCCGGTCCAGCTCGGCACTTTCTGAGTGGACCGGATCTCCGGTTCGGCTCTCGAACTCGGGTGTCAACATACAGGCCCCCGAGCTCAAAGGGGATGTCTTCAGCATCCTCTGTGAGGTCGCTTCCCAAAAGCACATCCGAGGTCGGCACTTAGAACACACTTCAAAATTTTCTACCATTTGTCATGCACACCTTTCCCAGACCTGAAACGACGGGTCATTTAATGTGTCGTGACCGTTACGCTTCCTGTCGATTATGAAAAGTCGCGTCTGTTCAGAGCCTTTACACGTGTCATCCCTTCATTCTTCCTTGTCAAACGGCGTGTCGTTTCTGTGAAACGGCGGTTTCTGGGGCGCGTGGCATCTACGCGACTATTCATGAACCGTTGGATTGTGTTCGTCCCAGCCGTTAGATCGAGCGTTTAATTTCGAATTTCAAACATTGCGCCACGTGTAATGCTGTGATTGGCTCTCGGTTCGTATATATATTTCCATCGTCTTCCTTGGGAAGCTTTTACGAGTTTCGAAACTTCTGAGCAACCGAATCTTCGAGCGACTGATTTCCGAGCAAGATTTCAGAGCGAATTTCAGGATTTTTCGAGCTTCTTGGAGATCTCCACACCGGTAATTCTACTTTCCTCGAAACCTTCCTTTTTATTTCCGATCATGTCAAGTCCTTCTGGCTATGCTGCGAACCTCCCCGCCGGAGATGGCGGATTCACGGCGGA